CGGGGTCGGAGGATCGCGCCGCATTGCCGACGCATCGGCGCCGCGATGGATCGGCGATGCATCCGCGACGTCGGCGACATGTCCGTGCCGCTGGAGTGGAGAAACTCGGGCTCCACTCCTCCTCCTCCTCCTCCTCCTCCTCCTCCTCCTCCTCCTCCTCCTGCTGCTCCTCCTCCTCCTCCTCCTCCTCCTCATGCTACTCCTAGGGAGGCCCTCTTCCTTCTGGATTTGCCGATTGGGTCCCCGGCTTTGCCTCCCAGGCGTAGGTGCTGGCCTCCTTTGGCATCGGCGTCGGTGACCTCCCCGGGGTCAGAGCCCTTGAGGAGCGCACTGCTCGGGAGGGCTCGGACGACGAGCTGCAGCCCGCCGACGATGAGGTTTTTCAGTGCCTCTGACCCGCCGTTCAGGCCAGCCACCACCACCACCTCCTGCTCCTCCTCCCCATCCCTCGCCCTCTTCCCACTTCTTCCACGCCCTCCTCTCTGCTCCACTCTCCTCCTCCGCCCCGTCCTCCGCGTCCTCCTCCTTGTCTTCCTGGTCTGCCCCTGCTTCCCCACCTCCTCGTCCTTGCTGTCTTCCTCCTCCTCCTCCTCCTCCTCCTCCTCCTCCTCCTACTCCTACTCCTACTCCAACTCCTCCTCCACAACAACAGAAGCATGAAGGACCACGAGACTGGGCGAGGGAGGGGAGAGGGAGGGAGGGGTCGGGAGGAGGGTGGGAGGGAGGGGAGGGGGTAGATGAGGACTGGACGACTGGACTGGTCCCTCCGAACGTGTCGCGGGGAGACCTCACGCGTGGCCTCACGCAGGCGCCTGAGGGACAACATGCGCGGCCCCGCGGCACCAAGGAAAGGGGCGGGGAGGGAGGCGGAGAGGAAGACAGGGAGGGAGACAGGGAGGGAGGATGCACGGAGCAAGGGGGGAAGGGATGACCAGACCCCATGGCCCGAAGCGCGGTGCTGGCACGGAGGCGTGCCATCTTTAGGCAAGGCGCCCGACCACCGGCAACGAGACGGCGCCCGCCGTGATGCCCCGTTCCAGGTTGCGCCGCCTCTGCTGCTCGAGGCCTCTCTCGCGCTCCAGCTCCTCCCGCAGGCGCTGCTGCTCCTTTTGCGGCGACGGTAACGACGACGACGGCGACGACGACGAGGCTGGCGCTTCCTTGCGCGGCTTGCCTGTACATCTTCTACCGCACGGTGAAGGATGCGAAACCCTCGAAATCGCTGGCCCACCTTGGCCCTCCATCGTAGTCAACCCACCGTGAACCGTGTGAGCTGATCAGGGTTTACGGGTCTTCTGCCGCACAGATGCCTTTTTTCTCGAGGTAACGCCGCCGTCACCATCGCAGTCGACATCGAAGATGGGGGTCCCAGCACCGACCCAAGAAATCCAGCCAGACCTTCGAAAGCTTGTGTGCTATGCAGACTGTCCTGTCTTCTAATTGTCATCGTCGAACTTCCTCCTCTTCTCCGTCCTCCCCCCTGGTCCACAGCTGCGCATCATGGCAACAGTCGACTCCCACGAGAAGCCACCCGAAGGCCGCAGAAAGGCAAGCGATAACACCCCAGCGCCCCCGCCCCCAGCGCGCGAAGCGCGTACGTGGCGGCGACGAAGGCGCCGCCAAGGGACTTCAGCGCCAACCCAAGAAACCCGTGCACCCCCCCGAAAACCTTTGCTTGTGCGGTTTCTTGGTCTTGCGAAAACTCGATGGAATTATCTTGGAGGTCTTCGGGCGTTTCCGGGGGTTCTCGTGGCCACGGCGGGAAACGGCCCGGGGAGACTGGCCAGGATGGACCCCTGGATGGGGTCCGGGGACAGCTTTTGAGCGGCCTATGGTCGGCGGTGGCGAGCAAAAATGAACCTGGCACGCCCACATTTTTCGGAACGATTCCTTAGCGGTATTGCTTTACATTGCATTGCTTCGCGTAGCATTGCATTGCTTCGATTTGATTTGTGTTGCTTGACATTGCTCGGCATCGCCTTGCATTGATTGGCGCTGCTTGCCATTGCTTGGCGTTGCTCGGCGATGCTTATCGTTGCTTGGCGCTGATGTGCATAGCTAAGCATTCATTGACGTTGCTTGGACTTGGCTGGCGTTGTTTTACATTGCTTGGCGTTGCGTGGCAAGTCGACTTGGGGAACACGACTAAGCAACCCGAGGAAGGAGCTATCAAACACAGTATGAAAGAACAAATGCAAACCAACCCGAGGAAGGCCCTCTTAAGAACTGCAGGGAAAGAACACGAATGAATCCGAGGAAAGCCTCGTCAACCATAATAATGAAACAAGACCAAGCAACCCGATGATAACCGCTTCAACAAAAAAAACGGAATCAAGACCAAGCCTCAAAACACAACAAGGAAACAATCCAATCCAAAGCAACACGGAGACAGCCTCTGCAAACACGATAAGGAAACAAAACCAAGCAACCCAAAGAAGGCAACTCGAAACAAAGTAATTAAACACTACCAAGCAACCTGGGGAAGGGCTCTTAAACAACAGTAAGGAAACACGACCCATCAACCCGAAGAAGACCTTTCAAAAAAAAGGCAAACAAGACCGATGAATTCGAAGAAACTCTATGAGCCCGTTGCTATATTCGTGGCGATGACAGGCGTTATGGAGGCGGGTGGGGGGGCCGGGGGGGGCATAACGACGTAGCGGTGGAATCCGGAGGTTGGGTCGGTAACCTCCGGAGGTTACCGATTCGGACCTCCGGATTCCACCGAATTGGCTCCCCCCTTCCCCCCAGGGGGAGGGGGATCGGTAACCTTCGGAGGTTCCCGTTGCTTCTCCTGGAGCAGGGTTTTGAAGCCGTTCTCCCCTGTGGTTCTGGAGTTGTTTCTTCCCTTGGAATTGTTTCCCTGGAAACGTGTTCCTCTCCATCCCCCTGGGGGGCGGGAGGTCGGGAACCTCCGGAGGTTACCGATTCGGGGGGGGGGGGGCGGGAGGGGAAATCGGTAACCTCCGGAGGTTACCGACTCGGGGGCGGGAAGGGCGGGGGAGGGCAAATCGATTCTCTGTCGGGGGGCCCCGCTTGAGCGGGGAGGCGGGGCCCTTCCTTGTCGGGAGCGTTTCCACCACCACTCCATTGGGGGGAAGAGAGGCCATCGGCAACCTCCGGAACATGAGGGCGATGAGGGAAAGTACCATGAGGAGGATGAGGGGGGAAAGGAGAAGGGTGAAGAAAGTACGGAGTGTGCACGTGGAGGGATTTTACATTCCACGTACGGAATTGAAGCAGCGCAACTTCAACAGAACAGCGACGTTGCATGAATATGGAGACAAGCTCACTACCGAGCCTGCGAAAAGCACGAAACGCCCCGTTCGAGGCGAATCAGCATGAATATGGAGACAAGCTCACAACCGAGCCTGTGAAAAGCACGCGATGTACCTTCGCCATCCCCCTCCTCCTCCTCCTCCTCCTCCTCCTCCTGCTCCTTGTCCTCCTTCTCCCTCCTCGTCCTCCTCCTCGGCGTCCTCCCCCTTCCCCTCGTTACCCGCTGCAGGCCGCGTCTGTCGGATGAACGGAAGTCCGGGCCCACGCCGGACGATCGCACGGCGTCGCCTGTCCATGCAAACTCGCGTTGCGCATGGGAATACGGAACATGGGAGCACGGAGCCAAGCCCGAACATAGATGACAATATCTATGAACCACCGTGCCCTGGGGCACGGAGTGGGCATATCCTCAGGTCCTTTCCCTTCCGTAGCCTCAGTCCTCAATCCTGAGGAAGCCTTATGAGGCTCGGAGCCCACATTTCCAGATTTCCTCGGGTTTCCTCGGGTTCCCTGCGGGACGCCGTTGCCATCGATATGTCCACCACAACAGCAATGTAGCAACCCAGCAATAAAAACAAGTGGTTTCTGATAGGCGGGAGAGGGGGGCCTCGCTGTCGGAGGGGCAGCCGCCGCACGAAGCGCGACCATCCTCGCGCCTCTGGAGCCAGCCGCATGCCAAAACCACACTCGCCAACCCAGACCGCAAGGCGCGATTCTCTGGGCGCAACCTTGGAGTGGATTCCGGAGAAGCCGCTGCCATCGAAATTTGAAGCCACAGCGGCACTGAAGCATTCCAACGATTTTCGCATGAACGTCCTTTGCGGAGGAAGGTCTGGGTGCCAGGGGATCTACCGCCAACCGCAGAAAGAAAGCACATTCGATAACCCAGACCACAAGGAACAATTCTGGAGCGGCCGTTGCGGCGTGGACTTCTTTTGGGGTGATCCTCAACCTGTCCACGCTCTCCCACGCGCCTCCAGAGATACAGCCCTCCAGGAGGCACTCGCTCGCGCGTGGTTTTTTACTGGATTCAAAAGCTCCACCGCCGCGTGCTGGGACATCCGCCACTGCGAGTTCAGCCTCGCATGGCTGTTTTGTCGAATCCTCCTACAATGTTGCGGCCTGGACGAGGCAGCGCTCCGCATCACTAATCCCCCCTCCTTCTCTAGACCCCCTCATCCCTCCCCCTCCCCCCCCTGCGCGCATCGCAGAACGTCAACTCGCGGGCGCATGATTCCGTGCGCGGGGGAGCCTCGCCGCCGTGCGTCGGCGAAATGCAACGTTTACTTGTGCTTGCAAGACGTTGCACAGTATCTTCGGACAGGATAGCACAAACCAACATATGAGAGGGACGCACCCACGTATATATGTATATGCATATGTATATATATATATATATATATATATATATATATATATATTCATACACATATATATGTATATAAATACATGAGTACCTCTACATATATGTGTATATGTACATAAATATATGCATGTATAGCCGGGTTATATGGGCATTCGCTGCTCGAGGCGACCTTGTATAAAGATAAAGTTCAAGCCAACCCAGCATGGCCCTGCGGCCAACAAAACTACGAAGTGCCTGTCGTGTAGAACCTGATCCCGAATCCTGTGGCCATCGATCCCGACGAAGCTCGTCGTATAGGTCGCCCAAGCTGTACTTGGGGTCCAGCCGTGACATCGATCGTTGTACTGTAAGTCGCGGATGTATACGAACTCGTCGTTGTTCTCCGCGATGTACATCCAGCACTTGACGTAGTAGCTCCAGTACCTCGGGCCCCATTGGGTGTCCTCCAAGTTCTGGCGCCACCACGTTGCGTAGTCCTCTTTCGTACGCGCCCGCTTGGAACGCGGGTAGTTCAAAACCGTCTGTTTAATTTGATCGGAAAAAAACAAGCCTTCGCAACCATCTCAAGGTACCCCGCCCGACGTGTTAAGTCCAATACAGCTTTTTTTTCAGCTCGCGGTTCTGCCTCGAGGCTTCGTCCATGTCCTTGATTGCCTGCGCCATCTCAAAGTTTGAGCGGCCACATGCTGTGAGCGTGGCCTCCAGCGCTGACTGCAAGCATTCCTCAAAACCATCGCCCGTGCTCTTGTTATTGTCTTTCCCCTTGCCTGCGGCGTTCTCTGCCTGCAAGTTGTCCTTGCCCGCGCCTTTCTCCACTGGTGGCGAGCGGGATCGGTCGCGGAGGCTATCGGGCATCGACGCAAACGGTTTCGAGTGCAACCCTGACATGCGCGCTGAGCGCGCGGAAAGTACTCGAGCCAATTCGGCCACTCACGAGAGAGCTGCGAATCGTCGTTGGCCTCTCCCTCGCCCTCCTCCCTCCCTGCCTCCTCCTGCGTCCTCTTTGGCGCGCGCACGTCCCACTCTCGATGTGTCGTGCTGCCCGTTGCGAACGCGGATTCTGCCGCCGCACGACGGAACGCGACCGTCCTCGCGCTCCCAGCGCCAACCGCATGGAGAAAGCACACTTACTAACCCAGACCGAAAGGCGCGATTATCCTGGCGCGGCCGTTGGATGTGGATTATTTTTGGCTTGGTGCCCGCCCGGTCCAAAGGCTCCAACGCGCCTCCGTAAGGAAGCCCGCCAGGAGACGCGCCCGTTGGGCCGGAGAAAAAAACCGCGCGTGGTTTGTTCACGGCCTTCACAACCTTCACCGACGCACGATGAGACATCCACGCGCTGCGAGTTCACCCTCGCATGGCTCTTGTCGGCGCCTCCTACAATGTGGCGACTTGGAAGAGAAAGCGATCGCATTGCGATTCCCTCTCCTTCTCTAAACCCCCCTCGTCCCTCCCCCGTTC